TGTTTACAGTACATAATAATTACATTCCCTGTGTGGAGTTAGTATTTGTACATAAAGCATCTTAGCAAATTATTTTAATTTACATCCTTAGCAAGTGGATTTAATTATGCTCTGCTTTGATTGAATTGCAGGAACGTTTACTATGCAGTATGTGGTTTTTGCAACTTGTTTCAATTTTGCTTATACCAGAGATAAATTCTACTTAAAACTACATATTTTACAGTAGATTGAGGAAAAGAAGAGAAAGGGAAAGGAATTCCAATCAAAGATAGACAGGTAGTTTCCAGAAGGGGACCTGATACAACAATGACAAAGGTTTCGTTACTCATTAAAGCATATGGAACCAGGAAATGGCACACAAATTTCAGCATTTCACTTTAAGGGACTTGCAGAGGACTTGCACCTGAAGCCATTCATGTTTGAACATTTCCTCTTGATGTACTTGACCACTGTACTTGGAAACCTGCTGAACATTCTTTCAGTGATTTCAGACTCCCATCTGCACACACCCATGTACTGTTTCCTCTCCTATGTGTCCTTTGTGGGCACCATGATGCGAAAGATACTGGTGAACCTGCAGTCACAGAACAATGTCGTAATATATGAATGTTGCCTCACTCAGATTTTTTAATATTATGTATAGTGTTGGAAAATGTCCTCCAGGCTGTAATGGTTTATGAACACTACGTGGTCATCTGTCATCCACTGCAGTACACAGTCATCAGGAAGCCCTGGCTCTGTGGCTTGTTGGTCTTGGTGCCCTGGATCATAATTGCCCTGAATTCCTTCTTATATAGGTTAATAATGTCATCGTTGATCTTCTGTGTAGTCTTTGAAATCCCAAACTTTTTCTGTAAGGTTAATCATGAATTCACCTTATCTTCTGACATAATTCTCAATAACCTGATGAAATCTATTGCAACTTTGCTACTGGGTGTGGATGACTTGATTGGCATCCTTTACACTCGCTCTATTTTCCTCCACACATGCAATAGCCTCAGCTCAGGGGAGAAATGAAGCATTTTCCACCTCTGCTTCTCACCTCTCATGTGTTTCCTTATTTTATGACACTGGGATAGGTGTGCTGTTTAGCTCTGCTGTTAGCCAAAACCCATACTCAAGTGCAACAGCATTGGTGATATACATATATAGCTAGGATAACTGTATTGCTGAAGTCCAATGGTTTATTGAAGGAACACTTAATACCTATTTTTTTTCTTTTTGACCAATTTTGCATGCTTATATCTGGTAATCTGAACAACTAATTTGAAAGTAAGATATTATGCTATCTTACTTTTCTCTTGTTACTTAACATCATGATCATTTGTTACAAAAAATGGTAAATAAGAACATTTATGTAATTTTATGCTAGAAGAAATGTTAAGACCACAGATTTGCATGATTAGATCTATTTCTCTATAGAGCATAACATACTAATAGTAAAAATACATGACAAAAAGTGACCTTTATGTACAATGTAGTACTACTCTACCAGAAAGAAGGATAAAGTTGAATCATCTGTAACTAAGTGGAACCATCTTGAGAACATATTATTAAATGAAATAAATGAGACACCAAGGCTTAAGTATTTGAAACTGGACCCTAATTTCTCACTGTATACTAAGCTGAAATAAAAATGGTTCAAATCTCTAAACATTAATATAGAAACCTTAAACCTTCTGGAAGACAAAGTAGGTAAAACACTTGAAGGCATAGGAGTAGGATAAGATTTTCTATTTTCTCCTTGAAGACATAGGAGTAGGAAAGGATTTTCTACTTTCGCTTAAATATCACATGATTTCTCTTACATAAGAAACCCAAAATATAAATAACAACCAAATAAAAGCTATATAGTAGGACGTATGGTGAGAGATCTTTCCCACACTAACATGTTTTATAATACATAATTGGCATTTATTCCATTCATCATGATTCCATTTAATTATTCAGCTTGGTGTTCACAGGGCCTGCTATTGTCACTGGCAAAACTTATCAACTGCAAGCCTCCAAGTGAAGTCTGCACCGAAAGACAATTTGAATTAATGGATTAACTCATTTCAAAGAAGAATTTATACATGATAATATAAATATAAATACTTATAATGTTGTATTACTATCAAACAATTGCTTTTCTTCTATAAATGTAATCATTTCAGTGTGTGAGACTGGTGTCTACTTGTAAGAGGGTTTAATCATTGATGATTTACTGGAAATTTTTATGTTATATTGTGAAATTATCTTTCTGTTTCTGCTTGAAAATTTCCACATAGAAACATGAATTGTTTCACTTTTTATATGAAATATTATCCCCTTTCTGAATTTTGTCATAACCACAAGAGGGATAGTGAATGAAAAATAACAACCTTGTAAAGTATGCATGTACTTCATGCTTACAAATCACTTTGATCTCCATGATAACATGATTCACAAGAGCTTGTATTGCTTTCTGGTCATATGCCTTTAAATTATGAGTCATCTGTGGAGTAGCCAGCAGAAATATTTTCCCATTGTAGGTTGTTCACTATACTAACTGAATCTTTTGCTGTACATAAGCTTTTTAGTCATACAATCCCATTTGTTGATTCTTGCTGGTATTTCCTGTGCAAACTGAGGTGCTAAGTAGAAAATCCTTTCCTATTCCTATGTCTTCAAGTGTTTTACCTATTTTGTCTTCCAGAAGGTTTAGTGTTTCTATTTCAATGTTTAGAGATTTGAATCATTTTTATTTCAGCTTAGTAGATAGTGAGAGATTAGGGTTCATTTTCAATCTTCTACGCACAGATAACCAGAATTTCCAACACCAGTTGTTGAATAGGCTATTTTTACTCTAACGTAAGCTTTTCGACACTCTTTAAAGATTAAATAGTTGATTATGTCTGGGGAGGTTTGTGTGTCCTTAATTCTGTTCCATTGATTCATGTGTCTGTTTTGTTCCAGTACCATGACCTTGTGCTGCTGAGCTAAATCCCCAGCCCCTAAGCCTGAATTCTTGAGTTAGGAATTACTGCTGTCCCTCTCCTTGGGTGTAATGATGGGTTCAGCAGAAAAATTCACTGGCACTCCATTGTCCTCTGAGTCACATTATTCCTATGTAATCAATTCAACTTCAGAAGTAACAAGCTATTCTTTTGCAGTAGAATCTATCAAGGGTAGTAGAGAAATTTCATATCATATGACCTGTTTTTGGTCTCTCTTTAGTCTAGAGAAGTATTCCGTAACTATAGTGTAAGCATTATAACAATCCTAGCCTTGAGCCACAGTAAATGTGCACCAAATGCATTGGATGTATCTCCGCTACTAATAAAAAACCCCACAAAATTCAACAGTAGTCATATGTCGAACTTCTCATCCAACTCTGTCCAGGGTGAACAGATCCCCCGAACTAGGTGCCCACAGATGTATAAGAAAAGTATGAAAAAAATCAAACCAAGAGAGCCAAAATTCTGTGATCAGGTGCTAGCAGCCTCTAGGACTGACTGACCCCTGATTATCATCTTCAGTAATCTTTTTCTCAGAGCCCACCAAGGGGGCAGCAGAGGAATCAGAGATATCAACTGTTTTAGCAAGGACAATCCAACTCAATTATCATAGGAATGTGACCAGACCAGTAAGCCATCATGTTATCTTCCTTCACCCCTATCTCAGCAAAGCAACTAGTATTGATCTGGGGGCTTGCAGTGCTTATGCTAGACTTCCTCCAGAATCCAACAATCATGGCTTGGTCAGGCCTCAACAATACACAAAATAGTAACTAAAGGATGACCTTCTCCACAGTCATATAGAACCAATCATCCAGAGCCCAGAAGAATAGGAGCTTGGTAACTCCAAAGTGTGGGATAGAAGAGAATTAAGATTAAAACCAGGAAGAAAAACATAAAGTTTTTCTGTGTCTAAATCCCCTACTTGGGGCTGGGGATTTAGCTCAGTGGCGCAGCGCCTCCCTGGCAAGTGCAAAGTCGTGAGTTTGATTCCTAGTACAAGAAAAAACAAACAAACAAACAAAAAAACCCCAAATAAATAAATAAATAAATAAATAAATGCCATCTACTTTGATATGGGAAATAGGAACAAGGAAGGGGAATAGGGTCCTATCTGTGTTAAGGGTATGTTGCTATATATTTAGAAAGGGATGACAGGGAAGACTACATACAGAATTGGTAGTGAGAAATGGGGATGGGGAAAGATTCTATGCTTAACACAAATGTTAGAGAAAAAATTTAAAGAAGTCAATTGAAAAGATGGAGAATGGAGAAAAGTAACATTAGGAATAAAAAACACAGAGGAAAGCAGTCAGGCTGGGAGATATGTATAAAAGTAGAAGAGGATATAAGAGAACAAGGGAGAATTTCCTTATCCTCTAAAAGCTATATGGGGAGGAATAAAAGCATAAGTAAGTGTAGGCAAAGCACAGACACACAGACACACTCATGATAGAGAATAGTGAGAATAGTGTAAAATAATGTGATGAAAGTGTGGGAAGTAATGTATAGAAGGAGGAAAACATCGAAGTATAAAACTTAAAGAAAAATTAAAAAATTTAAAAGTAGAACAAGAACAACAATGAATAATAAAGAATAGTAAAATTTCTTTCAATTTTTTTGGATTTCAGTCTCCATTCCTCAGGTTTGTGTTAAGAAGCAAAAGTCCAGGCAGGGAACATCTTTGTTTACACTGGAAGACCAGGGGCAATACACTCAAAGAACAGTATTGAGGATAGAGGTATGTTAACAGTGAGAACAAGTCACCAATATGAGCTTCCAGACTTTTGCAGCTAGGCCATAACCTGACTTTTGGCCACTACCAGAGTGGAGTTGGTGATCTCAAGCTCCATCTCTCAGCAGAAATCTCCCCAGTCTTCTCTCCAACTGCTGGCAGTCTACCATGACTGAACTGTCCTTCCCTCATTCCACTCTGGGAACTTGGCAGTGAAGCTACCGTGGGATTATTCTGTGACCAAATTTTGAGCCTTGAGCTCTGTCCTAGATAAAATCGTGACCCCCAACTGCTTATGCCCTGTGTGACTGTGTCCTGGGGCACCCTTCCATCATCACTCATGAACTGTTGACACTGGGGATTTCTTGACAAATAGTGGTTCATGTTCTACTGCTGCTTCCAACTGTATAAGATTTTCCTAGTCCAGATAAGGTCTCAATTTTTTTTGTGAGCAGGAAAGTTGTTTTCACTGCCTCTCTGCCAGCAGATACAGAGCCACTTGCCATGGCTTCAAGTGCTATCTGGTCTGCAGGATTGAGGCATTTCTTTTGCATCACTTAATCCTATTTTCTTCTTCTCATCAGTTTTCTCCTGGTTCCCATATGCCCTCCACTCACTGAAGTTTCTCTACAGGCTGCTGTTTTCCAACTCTAGGTACTTTGTCCTTAGTTGAAGCTGAGTTGCTAGAATTCATTCTGTATGTCAAATATATTTTAAGAAAAAATTTAAAATAGTATAAATCAAAATATATTTTATATTATTGAAGTCTTGCTATCTATATGGATCCAATAACATCATATGATGAATATCAAATATAATAAATTCTCTTTTAATGTTATATTAATGATAAGAAAAATGCACACTATTAATTCCAGTAAATATAATAAAAGAAATTTGGGCTGGGGATTTAGCTCAGGGGCACAGTGCCTACCTGGCAAGCATGAGGTAGTGAGTTTGATTCCTGGTACTGGAGAAAAACCAAAAAAAAAAAAAAATTGAAAAATAATATATGCATATAAACCTATTGTGTATAACAATAAATTCATAGTGATATATGAATCCCCATGTTTATAGCCAGACAACTCAGAGTAGCTAAATCATGGAAGTGTCCTGTCTGCTTATCAATACATGAATAAATGTTAAGATGTGTACACATATAGAATGGAGTATTACTTAGACACATTTGAGTTATTTATTGGATAATGGATGATTCTCAAGAGTGTCCTACTAAATATAAGTGAAACAGAGTTGAATATTGCCTGGATTCTCTATTAAGAAGATGAAATATGAATAACTTCAAGAGC